CCGGGCACTTTGGAAGCTCATGATAACGGGTTCCGGTACTCGACTTCGAGGTCAGACGAACGTGTTGATATTTTATTTGGGAATATAAAGCATGCGTTTTTTCAAGCAGCTGAAAAGGAAATGATTACTTTGTTGCATTTTCATCTTCACAACCACATCATGGTTGGAAACAAGAAAACAAAAGATGTTCAGTTCTATGTTGAGGTGATGGATGTTGTTCAAACTTTAGGAGGTGCGAAAAGATCCGCTTATGATCCAGATGAGATTGAAGAAGAACAACGAGAACGAGACCGGAAAAACAAAATCAATATGGATTTTCAAAGCTTTGTGAATCGGGTTAACGATCTTTGGGGTCAACCCAAGTTCAAAGGACTTGACCTTGAGTTTGACCAACCGTTACGGGAATTGGGATTCCATGGTGTACCATATAAAGCTTCGGCCTTTATCGTCCCGACTTCGAGCTGTTTGGTTGAATTGATTGAATCTCCGTTTCTTGTTGTGACTTTGAACGAGATTGAGATTGTGAATCTTGAAAGAGTTGGATTGGGTCAGAAGAATTTTGACATGGCGATTGTGTTCAAGGATTTTAAAAAGGATGTATTGAGGATTGATTCCATTCCGTCGACTTCGCTCGATGGAATCAAGGAATGGCTTGACACGACCGATATTAAGTATTACGAGAGTCGTTTGAATATGAACTGGCGTGCGATATTGAAGACGATTACGGATGATCCGAAGAATTTCATCGATGAAGGTGGATGGGAGTTTTTGAACCTGGAAGCGAGTGATTCCGATTCCGATGGTTCGCAGGAATCGGATCAGGGGTATGAGCCATCGGATGTGGAGCCGGAATCGGAATCGGAAGATGAAGGGTCGGATAGCGAGTCGTTGGTGGAGTCGGATGATGATGAGGAGGAAGGGTCGGAGGAGGAAGGTTCTGAGGAGGAAGAAGGGAAGACATGGGAGGAGTTGGAGAGGGAAGCAAGCAATGCAGATAGGGAGAATGGGGTTGAGTCAGACAGTGAGGAAGAGAGGAAACGAAGGAAGATGAAGGCTTTTGGGAAGTCACGTGCGGGGCCCAGTAGCAGTAGCAGTGCTCCTAAGCGTCCAAAATTCAGGAGGTAAACTATTTGATGATGGATGATGGATGATGGAGGTGTAGCGGTTTGTTTTATTTTGGATTTTGAATTTTGAATTTAGAAGAATTAGTGGATTTTGTGTTGTTATGTTAGGTGTACGTTTTGTTTTTGGGTACTTCAGAAGGAATATTTTGTCTTATTATTATGAATTAATTAAACGTTGAATGTGGCGTCAAGGATATTCTGTTTTCATAAGTTGTGGAAATGTTTTAGTATCTATGAATTATGAATTTATGATCATCAATATCAATATTTTGTTATAATTGGGTAGAGATTCAAAGGAAGAAAAAGATAAAGATGATGTAATCGTCAATATCAATATTTTGTTATAATTGGGCAGAGATTCAAAGGAACAAATAATTTGTTTCTCACAAATCACAAATTGACGTTTGCTAAATTAGATTAGAAATGTTTATTGTTATTAATCGATATTTAAAAGTTTTAAAATCATATATCTTGTCGAATATTATACAATTTTTTTTTAATAGAAAATCTTTAGACGTCCAAATGGCTCTTCTCCTATCTCTAAAACCGCCATCGCCATCGCCATCACCGGTACAGTCACAATCGCCACCGCTTCTCCTCCTTTCTCCGCTCACCTCCTCTCTATTTCCGCACACAATCAAACCCTGCAAGTCCAATCGCCTTCGGCAAACCCGCTTCTCCTACAGCAGCCGAGACCCGCCGCCGCCGGAAACAGGCTGCCCCGTCCCACCAGAGCAACAACCGATCAACGAGTACCAATCTCTGTGCACTTCCTCCCCTTTCTCCTGGGCCTCCGGCGACTTCGTGGAGTACTGCTCCCGGTTACTTGCCACCGGCGCTGGGTTTGCTATGTTCGTCGGGCTTCCTGTTTCGTGGTACGGGTCGGTCGGTGTCGGGTGGGAACCTACTCAACGGATCCTGGGAGCTGTATGCAGTGGAATATTGGTGGTTACTCTTGCTGTTGTCAGGATGTATTTGGGTTGGGCTTATGTTGGCAATCGATTGCTCAGTGCCACTGTCGAATGTATGTATACTTCCCTTTCCACCATTACAAACACACCAATCTCAACTTTTGATTCGATATGATTATGAAACTGAATCATATATATGACATATGCAATCAGATAATGAAGTATGCTTCTAGGCATCTGTGATTCAATGAAGCATTTAGCCTTTTAGATTTCATAATACTGATTTAACGATGAAAGATGAATATATTTGATTGGTTTAGAGGGTTTCAATCTATAATCAATGTCCATTTCTTGCAACACAGGAGGCGTAAGTTCTTGTTTCAAGTTCACCCCAAGGCCATAATTGCCCTATCTATCCCTAACCTTGTTTTTTGCTAATGAAGTTTTTTAGTAGATTGTTAAACTTATAAAATATATAAAGTGTAAATGTTATAATATCTTATTGTTTAATGTGTATGTTGTACAGATGAAGAGACTGGATGGTATGATGGACAGGTAATTTCTTTATAAATCATAACTTTATTCCTTTTTTTGGCATTGGATTATGATTTTGTATATTACTTCTTGTTGCATATATATATGACATGGTAACAGAAGATTGGATTATGAAAGTTATGTATTATGATAAACAGATTTGGGTGAAGACTGCTGAAGTGTTAGCAAGGGATCGGCTTTTAGGATCATTTACTGTAAGAGATTCATTCTTTATTATTTATTGTTTCCAAACACGGATTCCAATTCTTTCAAATTCCAAATATCAAAATTACTTGTTTTTGTGGTGCAGGTGAAGCCAGTGCTGAACAGATTAAAGAACACATTAGTGGCACTTGCATTATCTTTATTCATGTTCATTGTTCTTCTTATCAACACTGAAAGCAGCAGCCAGAGCCAGAAGCTGGCCTCCATTACATCAGGTGTTGAACCAGGTGGCAGAGCAGTTGCAGGTGTTTACAGTGATGAGTCTGCAAGATCTTTTGAACCAGAAGCATTTTGTGGTTCACCCATGGCCGATTAGATGAAGCAGCATTTGTAAATACAAGCAAGAACACATTTGATGTATAGTAGTACGTACCCCTTGTACATATGGGACACTTTAATTTAATCAGTTAAGTTACTTACTAACTCCAAGATTGTTGAATGTTGTTGAATTAATTGATCAAGATAAGACATTTAAAGATAAGTGATGAATTTGGGAAAGAAGGAAACGACTTTATCGAGGTAAAACATCATTCTCAATATATGTGCATTCAATTTTTATGTGGAAAAAGTAATTTCTAACTACTCCATCAACCAATTTAAAGATTAAACAACTCCAAAGTAAACGAAAGTGTGACAATGAAATGTTACCTAATTATTTATTTTTCAACCAAATTAAATAATTATGCATCGGCTATTTTGGAATTTTGGGTACCGGCCTGATTTCACCTTTGTAGTTTGTACAATTTCTTCATTTTAGATATATCATGGTTTCATTTCAATACACTTTTTGGGTTGAACAAGTCGTGTATCTTATGATGAAGTTGAACAAGTCGTGTATTTTATGATGAATATTCATTTTATATTGTCGACTTATTTAACTCGTTATAATCATTGCTTATCCTAATGATAACCGTCACCCCCTGCTAATCTCCATCCCCGTTCAACTAACCTAATGCAACATATGAACCACTAACATAATTGAACCGGATGGAACCACTAACATAATTGGATCGGATGGAATAGTCCCTAGACCTCATTTTGGGCTCGTGTCGTTTGTAGGACTTAAAACTCTTTCCTTGGGGCAATCTGATAGGAATCAAAATACTTCTAGTCAAATGCTTACAAAAACCAAGAACAAAAGGGGCCTTGATATTCGCGACACGTGGAAATCTCTTACGATGTTAATTACTCCAATTCGATGCCCTCCCTAAGTCAGACCATAATCCCCTTTTATTAACCTTTGTACCTAAAACATGGAAACTAGTGGTTAAACAAGGAAGCAAGATAAACAATGGAATAATAAAATAGAACTTTCTCTCTTCCCCCTCTTAAGATTCGAACTCCACCTTCAACCCATTAAGCCTTCTTTAGGGGAAGAAAAACAACATAATAGTTTTCAAGATGCGTTTCACTATTTATGTTTGTAACTGTTAGGCAGAAAGTCGTTTACGGGCACTACACGCTCATGATTATCTTTTAGCTATCCCTATAGAGGGTCTTAGACAACACATGACACCTTTGGAGTATCATACTACCCATAAGTATCGCTTCATAATTCTCTTAATTTTGGTTGATGAGGTATTCCTAGTTTGTCGGAAGGCATGATTAAACTCTTTTGCAGAACATGCAACACATTGTAGAGAACTTCCAAGTTTCAAGTATCGACACGATATGGTGAGGGACATTTTGGTTTTTGGATGGGTGATATGGAAACATGTTTGTGTGGATCTAATAAAGGTTTATCCTCTTGCAAGCTTGAGGAATAGGGGTTTCACGGTGGAGCAAACAACTTTAAAAATGACAAAACACGAGAAACCATGAAAAATCAACATGCGTTTATATCATTAATGTTTGATACATTTGAGTTCCTTACATTAGAGGTAGTGAAACTTCTTAGAGTCTCACGAGTCATACATAGTAATGTTACCCCCTCAAAATTAGTAGATGCCGTTTAAAAAAAATAGTTGTCATCCAAAAAGAATTAACGATACAACTTGTTGTCCGTTTACAAACCCGTTCGATGTAAACTTTTACAAATGAATTGTCAATATTGAAAATCGAATTAATATAATTATTTTTTCTTTAAAAATATTATATAAAGATATCTATGATAGTTAGATGAGTATTTAATGTAAACTTCTTTAATTAATTATGGTGGTGTTGTTTATGTAAACACTTGAGATTGTAGGCAAATATAAAAACATGGAGTGCCATCCTCCAGCTCCTGGCTCACTGGCTGTGTAGGTTACTCCAATGCGGACCCCACTCGTCTCTCCTCTTCCACTATCAATTAATTCGTCACTGAAACAAAACGAAAACCGACACAAATTCACACACACATAAAACTCACCCGTGTGGATCCCTCCGTCGCCGTCCCTGCCATGAAAAGGGGGATACCCACCTCCTCCTCCCACCTCCGCCGTCTCTACTTCCTATCTCTTATCTCATTAATCCTTTCCTTCTCTCTTTCTCTCCCCCTCCCTGTCCTCGCCGACACAGATCAGGAGCAGCTTGAAGACATTAGCGACACCTTTGTTAATAACGCCACTCTCACTTCCAACAATGCTTCTTCTACTACGGATAGAGACAGGAGCTTTGCTGGTATGATCGATCGTGCTCTGGAGAAAGAGTTCACTGAGAATGATCAGACCGAAGGTTGGCTTATTAGATCTGATGCTTTTGTTTAGGGTTTTACAATGTATGCTTTCATTTGCTTGCTAGGATTCTAATTACTGCATTTAATTGCTTTTTTTATTTTATTTCTTCCTTCCATGAAAAAAGGGGAATTCAACAGATCAGCCATTATCATTGGTTACTTCAGGAATTGAATCTTTTCTTTTTAATTGAAAATGTTAGGGCTTCCATTTTATATGATTCTTTTGTAGCTATATTGTTACCTAACTTTAGAGATCCTTCATCTGGAATCTCAAGGTTGACTTGTGATTAGAAAGATTCAACAATATTCAAAACTTATATGGATCTCTTAATTAGCATGGTTATCAAACTTGAGCTTTTGTGATGTGAGGATCTTGTTTGAAGCCAAAGCATCACAATGGTCACACTTTGATCCCCAAGTTCTAGCGACTTGGCATCTACTTATCTGATATTGAGGTCCTTCCTCTTTTCAAAAAAGGACCTTACGCTTTCATTTTTGATGCAAAACCTCGTCTTTCTAAATGCATAATTGCAGATTTAACGCCAAAAACAATAATATAATTTAAAGAGATAATGCCCTTCTTAAGTACAAATATTGCTAACCAAACATATTCTTTGTAATGTCTCCTAGCTTATCTTGGAATCTTTACTTAAAAGTATTAGGCCCCAAGTTTCCAACACTCATCAAGTATAAACTTATCTTGGAATGGTCGTACTTTTATATAAATATTTTATCAATGGCCCAATACAGTCTGAAGAGAAATTATAGTTGAATATCTGACATAATCATCTTAAAGGTAGAATTGATATAATACAAAAGAACCAATAACTAATCTTCCTAAATCCTAATTGAATTTGCAGAAGAGGATGCAGGCAGCTTCAATAACAGTGTTGCTGGGCAACAGGTTGCTCTTTCAATTTTCATTTCTTTTAAATGTTGTAATAAAGTAAGCATGTTTCTTAATTTCTTTCCTTGCTGATTATCTTTAATTTACATGTGTTTTCACCAGGCTGTATTGGAAACTGTAGCTAGGGTTAAGTCCAAGAAAAATGACACAAAGGATGACAAGTATGATCTTTTATCCTTTTCTTGCTTAATTTTATGATAATTCTATGAATTAATATCCCATTCATAATATACTACTCATATTAAGACAATTTTTTTAGGTCCTTTCAACTTCATCATGTTTTCACTATGGATAATGACAACGGAGCAGAAGAGACACCAACACTAATTGACAGAAAGGTAAATTTTGATATTTAAACTGTTATATATTATATTGTATTGTATTGGCTTCATGTAGTTAATGTATTCTTATTCTCTTTTTTCAGGATAATGTCTTTATCATATCCAATTTTAAATCAAAATATCCAGTGCTACAGTTAGACTTGAGGTAACTTTTTTTTACTTAATGACACAATCTTCCTATCAATACATGTTACAAAAGCAACATTAATATTTAATATAATATAAATGTTGAATTTACAGGTTAATATCCGATCTTGTAGTTGTCATTGTATCTGCTACTTGTGGTGGCATTGCCTTTGCTTGTGCAGGACAGCCTGTATGAACACTGTTTCAATCTTTGTTTCTGCTTATCTTTAAAGGAAATTGCTGAAAATAGCATTTTTTTACCAATATAGGCATTGTACTTTTATTTTTACCCATAAGTATGTTGCTATTTCGTATAAAGAAAATGTAAGTATGTTGCTATTATGGGTAAAAAAAATAAAGCACATTGCTTATATTAGTAAAAAGAGTAAAGTAGCTATTTTCTTGCAACTTGCACGTATCTTTATGATCATATAATGTTTTTTTTTGTTTGTGCATTTTTTCCTGAATCACATGTGGCTTTCACAGGTGATTACTGGATATTTGCTGGCAGGATCTGTTGTTGGGCCTGGTGGGCTGGATGTAGTTAGTGAATTGGTCCAAGTAGAGACAGTAGCACAATTTGGTGTAATTTTTCTTCTTTTTGCTTTGGGGTTGGAGTTCTCCATGGCAAAGGTTAGTTTCGTAATTAATGTTGCCTTGGATAATTAATACACATGAGAGACCAACTGTCTAACTCAAAGTAATTGTTTGATAATTTTAGCTTAAAGTTGTTAGAGCTGTTGCTGTTCTTGGAGGACTTGTTCAAAGCTTCCTATTTATGTGCATATGTGGAATTACAGCCTCTGTAAGTTTGACTAAACCTTCTGATTCTGTTGACTTTTTTTACATTTTTTTGTTCATTTAGTAGTAAAGTATGAAACATCAACAGTTATGTGGTGGTAAGCCTTCTGAGGGGGTGTTTGTTGGGGTGCTTCTTTCAATGTCATCAACAGCAGTGGTAAGTAAAATCTTACTATTATGGAACTCTTTTGCTTAAGCCTACCTCTCATTGACCTGTAGCTGATTAAACATTAATTTAATCATGCAGGTTTTGAAGTTTTTGATGGAAAAGAATAGTGTTAATGCCCTTCATGGACAAGTTACAATTGGAACCCTAATCTTGCAAGATTGCGCAGTGGGTTTATTGTTTGCTCTTCTTCCTGTTCTTGGTGGAACTTCAGGTGTTCTACAAGGAGTCATATCCATGACCAAATCGTAAGTTATCAACCTTGTTTATTTGTATACTATTTATAGAGAAATAGCAACCTACTTTGTTCTTTTTACCAATATAAGCAATGTACTTCATTTTTCATATACCAATAATAATTACACTTTATCGTTAGTATGTTGGTATTATGAGTAATAAATAAAGTAGATTGGTTAAAAATGTAAAGTATGTTGGTATTCTGAGGAATTTGGATAATAAATAAGTTAAAATGTTGAAATGTTTGTTTAGAGATTTCTGTTGATTTCAGCATACTGATTGTTAGTTAGTCAGGCTGGTGGCGTTGGTTGCATTTTTGGCAGTTTTATCCGTTTTGTCACGGACTTGTTTGCCTTGGTTCCTTAAACTCATGATTAGCCTCTCCTCACAGGTGACAGATCATCAACTTTTAAAAAAAAAAAAAAAATATTATATGCATATTTTTAATCGTCTTTTCCTAATCTTTTGTGCAGACCAATGAACTGTATCAGTTGGCATCCGTTGCATTTTGCCTGCTGGTAGCCTGGGTTTGTCTTTCTTCATGATACTTGATTTTTTTATTTTTTATATAATCACAATTCTTTTCTGGGTAAAAAAAAGGTATTTTTTTGATAAATTGCAGAGTAGTGATAAGCTTGGATTAAGTTTAGAGTTGGGTTCGTTTGCTGCTGGAGTTATGATATCAACGACTGATCTTGCTCAACATACACTTGAACAAGTAAGATTCATTCAAATAAGAAATGAACTTCACTCACTAATTTTAGAGTAAGTTACATTTTTAGTCCCTGAGTATAGTCGATTTTTGTCCCAATAAGTTTTCTGTTGCAAATTTGAGGTTTTTGATCCATATGACTATATTTATGGGACCTAAAGTTGTATTGAAGTTTGTTTTAATGATGCAGGTAGAACCTATACGCAATTTTTTTGCTGCTTTGTTTCTTGCAAGCATTGGAATGCTGATTCATGTCCATTTCCTATGGAACCACATTGATATTTTACTGGCATCTGTTTTATTAGTTGTCATTGCCAAGACAATTGTCATCTCCATAGTTGTCAAAGGTTTTGGCTACAACAACAAAACTTCAGTTCTCGTAAGCTTTTATATATATATAGCAACCTACTTTCTGAAAATCATTTTTTTTTTAAATTAAAAAAACACTCTTTGCTTTCGTCATAATTCATTGCTATTGTTATGTAGTAAGTAATATTTAAGAAATAAAAAATGCAGGTTGGAATGTCTTTAGCACAAATAGGAGAGTTTGCTTTTGTCCTTCTGAGTCGTGCTTCCAATCTTCATCTTGTTGAGGTTTGTTTCAGGGACAAAAGATATTCATATTATTACATTTACATTTACATTATTTACATAAGGAAAAAAGTTAGTTCAGAAAATGACATACATGTTTGTTTACCCTTGTAATTTCAGGGGAAGCTGTACATGTTGTTGCTTGGAACAACTGCTCTTAGTCTGGTATGGTATTGTATTTATGAACATCCTTTGTCACATAATAATATTTACATTTTTGGTCCCTAAACTTCTCTTTTTGCTATCTTGGTCCTTATTTGAGGTTTTCGTAATGCTTTTAGTTTTGGTCCCTGCTCCAAGTAAAATATGACTATAATACCCTTTTATCTGATTCTTTTATAGATATTTGTTATTTACTACTACATTTTTTTGTCCCAGATCATGCCTGATTTTTGCAATGAAAAGTTGTGCCTTATTTTGAGGTTCTTGTATTTTTGCCCAAAAGTTGTCATTTTAGCTGGAATGGGAGGGTAATATAGTCATTTTACTTGGATCTGGCACCCTACGATACGAGTCACAAAACCGTCAAATAAGGACAAAATATGCAAAAAAAGGAAATTGTAGGGACCAAAAATGAAAAAAAGAGGTATATTAACTAACTATTAAGGGACCAAAAAATGTAATGTACTAATAAGATAGATGGTGTGTAATGGATGGATATAAGCAAGCAACAAAAAATATGATATGATTTGAAATTTTAGGTGACAACTCCATTGCTGTTCAAGATAATTCCAGGGGTAGTGCATCTTGGAGTTTTGTTACGGTGGTTCACCCCCGATAGTCAGAGTGAGGTCAAACATTCATTTTCTTCTTCAAAACATGTAGTGATATCTTTTATTATTATTTTTTTCTTTCTAAAAATAGCCTATAACTAACTCCAATAATAACAAACACAAACAGATGGGAATAAAAATAGAAGGTCTGCGATCTGATAGTGCAAAGCAACGAATAGCCTTGATTGCTAAGGATCTTTTGATTCATGAAGGTTGACCAAAGCAGGTCAAAGTTTGGATTGGATAAATGCAGAATGCGGGTTATCCAGACCAGACCAGACCAGACCAGAGTACAATGTAATAGGAAGTTGTGTTTTTGTTTGGAGGAAGAAAGAAAGAGGAAAAGAAGGGAGGAGGGGGAGAGAGGTATTCAATCTAACCAATAGACAACTAAACTAACTAACAGGTCAGGTGAGGTGAGGTGTGAAAAAAAAAAGTGCTAATTTTTGTGTGTTTGTTTGGTTGGTTGTTTGTTGGTTTGTAATGTAAAAATAGGTGGTGTACTTTGTATCTAGTGGAAAACAAAACAAAACAAAACAAATTTTCCATGTAATTTTTGAAAGGAAGCCCGGCCGATCGATCGATCGATTCTTTTAAATATTGTTTCTATTTGTAGGTAGCAGCAGCAGTTGTTGCATAAAAACCTGTCTTTCTCCAAATTAAATTGTGGAAATAAGACCAGTTGGATAACCAACTATGAAACATCACTAGCGTGTAATGCCCTTCCTTATCACCCTTCAAATTGTTAAAAACCTAACAGACAATAAATGTTGTACTGAATTTGATGAATTTGGTTTTTTTTTTTTTATGAATGCACTTTGGACTCATCAAACAATACTTTAATTGTCATGGGAACTTTTTTTTTTGATGCAATCTTCAACGATTTTTTGATATTCCTATTCCCCAATTTCATATCATCACTTTGACTTGAACCCCGTTCAACATCTTTTTGATTGATCTCTTCCCGTGGGATGACTAGTCCGTGGAACCTTAATTGATTCGTTTAAGTTGAGGTGTAACCATACATGGCCATCAGATGATTGGCTATGGATGGTTTGTGAAGTTTTGGTTCTTTTAAAACCACCTATATCTAATGTATTTACTTAAAGCTATTTTATGAATCCTTCACAATATTTCAAAGCTCTAACATGTTTAAAAACACTCTTCTTTCCTTTCTCATAAAGTTCTTGAGTTTTTGTTTGCACTGCTTGGCCGTTCTTGCTTCACATTGATGAACAAACCATTGAACTCCATTACACTTTTGTTGATGTTGCTCCAATTTGAGTAGATTTGATGTTTTGTTTGGTAGTTGCTTTTCTTCATTAAGGTAAGGAAACACTTCCATACTTCATTATAAAAAGTCACCCCACTTTGATCTTTGCTAACTGTCGGGTCTTTCTAAAACATCGAGCCATGATTTTGCTAACGTCATCTCTTCTTTCGGGGTCCACTGTATATTCGAGGCCTTCCCTTTTTTGTTCGGGTCGGGTTGAGGATTGGGTACACCATTAGGATTGGTTGAAGAATCGATTTGGGGTTGGTTGATTGGAATTGAGTTTTTTAAATTGTCTCGAATGGTTCGAAATCGGATTAGGTATGGGTGTGATTTGGGATTGGTTTTAGCATTGGAATTGGAAATGGTTTGGTGCATATGGATTATAAAATAAACCATTTCTAACATAATGAAACATTGTTGGGGAATAGACTGGACAATCCATTTGAAGTTGGTACCACAATGGTGATGTAGGATCGGAGAACAAGTGTCTGTATTTTTTTTCTTATTTCTTTTTGAGTTTTTTGGTTGCTTAGATAAGATATTTTGAAACTTGAGTGTGTAGGGTTTGAGAGAAATAGAGTATTGTTAAGGTTACACGGTTAAAGTATGGTAAAAAGTAGAGATTGATGTTAGTATTTATATTGGTTACAAGTATATAAAAAAAATTTACATTTTTGTTATTGGAAATGGTTAAATATATAAAAAAATTAAAGTCTCTTTCTCTCTCTCTTCGTCAAGCTGATGCCAGTGGGAGATGCCAAACTCGGCATTGTGTGAACGTGTTTGTTTCCTGACACCACCTCAACGATGTCGAGGCTACACCCCCGACATAAGATAAAAAATGCAAGCAATTATGATTCACAAAGACATGCGAAATGTATAGGACTCACAACTTTCTTCTATCCTACTCAAACACTCCTCATCCTTTCCTACATTTCTGTGTGCCATAGCCACACTATTCGACATCTTTGTTTGTTTGTTTGTCTTTTTTTTTTATGTTTCTTTGACACATGCAAAAATTTTGGGGTTGGCTAAAAAACACTCATTTATCATGTAGACACCCTACTTAATTATTCAAATATTTTTATTGGTTAAAATTACATTGTTTTACGAAAAAGTTATTTATAAGTAGTTAATTATAGGTTGACTTTTAATAAAAAATGTTTATAAAGTGTCTAAGTGGTGTCAATTTAGCAGCATCCAAAATTTTACTTTTATAATTGAAGTTCATATGTTCCAAACTTTTATATTTAGAGTTATCACAAAAAGAGCTAGGTTCAAATGTGGATTGACATCTATTGTGTGGATGTGTGGATAATGCTATTCTGCGAGAATTACAAAGAAAATATGTTGTGTGATAATATGAATACGTTCAATCTTATATAATTATTTTAATTATTAAGCATTTTCACTAATTAAATCGTCTATAAGGTTATTATACATTTTTTTAATTATTCTCATTCTGTCAGAATGTTATCAAGATGTTTATTGAGTCGTATTCTGTAAGAATTAAAATAAATAAAAAACGATGAATGAGAACAAAAATGAATTAGAATTGGTGAGAATCCATTAAAATAACAATATTTCTGTGAGATTGAACGTATTCACATTAGTAAACAACATATTCTCTTAGTAATTTTCATAAAATAACATTATCCACACGTCCACACAATATTTGTCCATCCACATTATAACCTAGCCCATCACAAAAAAATAAGTTGTGGTCTATATAAGAATATTCTCAATTTCATATTTAAACAAAAAATGCTTATCAATCATGAATCATATCATATCATCCTAAATGGTTAAGATATTAACATTTTCTTTGTTTCATTTGTCTTCTTGTCCCTAATTCGTCATATTCAAGTTTTTAATTATTATTATTTTGATCAAACTTGGACGACAATAATATTGTTAATATATTTTTAAAAATATAATTGGTAATAACTTCTTTATTTAAAAATATGACACTAGGCAATTAACTAACTTAGTGCTTATGGCGTCCACTGTTTTGTTCGTTGCTAATTATTATATAAAATTAATGACCTTAAATTATATAAGTTTCTTGTATTTTTTTTAATGTCATAAACTATTCCTAATATTTAAAAAACAATCAGATATTTGTATTAAATAAATTAAATTCTGAAGGTGTTTCGGGTTTCTCTTATCCGCCTCATATTAAATGTAGCAATTGACTTTGGGATGTATATTTAAGTATTCCATACATGATGATGATGATCATGATGATGCAAATAACCACCTTCATGACTCAATTTTTGACTTTTTTATGTTATGCCATCCATCACTCCCAATAAACCAAAACCAACACAAGTACTATATTCATATTCATTTTAATAAATAAATATCAAATCTTAAAATATTACGATTATTTTTCGCTTAAAAGGAATTTAAAAAAGAGTCGTTAGAAAAAAATAGTATTAGAATTAAAATTTTATCAAAGATGTTTATTTATTGTTAGAACAAATGCGTATAAAAGGCTTTTTTTTTTTTTTTTTTTTTTAATTTTTTATTATTTTTTATAAAAAGCAAGAAATGCTTTCATTTATAACAGCAGTAGTAAATTACATGTCAGACATATTTTATAAATTTTAGTTTTAAGTATCATTTTCTTAATCAATACAACAACAAAACACAAGTCCTATAAGATAATAAGAATGTGATAAAAGGAGATGTAAGATGTAGGCAGCTTCTACATAAAGGTAGATATATAGCTTCTATCGATGACCCACAACATAACAAAAAACGCGAGCTCATACCGAAAGATTTTTTTTTCTTACATGTGAAGTGAAAACTCAATTTTCAAGAGTAAACAATGGCGTGTGATTAAATATAAAAAACAGATACAAACAATAAAGTTAAAAGTAAAACAAATTAATGGTAAGCATGTAAATATTATACATATACACAAACCGTGAGGCGGTATAAAACAAGTGAAAAAAGCTAGTATCTACACTACTTTATTGCCATGTTTTTATGCCTTCACGCCCTTATATATGAAGTTACATATTTGGTAGAAGTCAACATTTTTTAAGTTTATCCTTATATTATCTTTTTCAATTATTTTAGTGGCATCATCTCTTCTTTGTAAATTTTTTCCAGTCTCTAGCCAGTCTTCTTAATAATATTTAGTTGTTCGAAAAAAAGATGAGCAAGACGTCTGCTCTTATATTTCAATTGTTTGGTGAACTTAATAAAACATTTTCAAGTCAACCGGTTAAGTAACCCAAATCCATTAATTAGTTTCTCCTCAATTACGAAATGGCTAGACGGTATCTGATGTTGCCATTCCTTTTTGAGGTCGATGGTTCAAGTCCCGCTATGAACATAGATGAAATAATTTAGAAGTAGATCAATATATTTGCCGTTTCAAAAAAAAGTTACTCCTTAATTAATTAACCGACTATTTAAATAAACTATTGTATTTAATAAATACATAAACTTATTTACATATTTATTTTGCTTTTGATCAACAAATAAAAAATAACAAATTATTACTAATTTACTCTATTTATTTTAAGTAGTAGATAACAAATTTAATCCTTATAAATATATTATTTATTATATTAATGTTCTTTTTATATGACATTATAAGTTCATATATACTTAACAACTGTAAATTCTTTGTATCTTGCACACTAGATCTTACAAATTCTCACTTGTACAAAGAACAAAAACAATCAACTATGCAAACATGTTTGCACCAAACAAAACGTCATTGTCTAGCCATAAATGAATATTTGTCTCCACAAGACTTCTATCAACCAATTAACGGTAAACAACACGTCGTCTTAATCTTCATTTGCTTTGACATCCTTGAACATGATGGATTGATCGAATTATTCGCATATAGTTTATTATTGATTTCTAGATTTGTGAATATGAATAAGATCATTAGAATTAATTACCCATCATGCGGGATCATATGGATAACCACACACTCAAAATGTATTAAGATTCATCAAGGAATTTGAACGATATCACACTCCAAAAAGTAAATGAACAAATCATGTCTTGACTATATGGGTCCATCATCAAGTTTCACATCATATCTATAATAGCCTTTAAATCTATGATGTTTAGAAAATTATTTAACTACATCAAAATATAATGTTACACTTGCTCAGAAGCCAACATATATCACAATTCGAATGATACATAGAAACAATTTATTTTCCAGATTCACCTAATAATGTCAATCCGTGAAATGACATCTTGAGACTGAGTCAATGCAATGTTCGTCATGGATGAATACATTTGAATTTGGCTTTTAACAATATGCCTATTCATCCATGTGAATATTA